GGGGGGGGGGGGGGGGGTGGCGGGGGGGCGGGGGGGGGGGGGGGGCAGCGGCAAGGGGGGGACGGAGATTCTGCCGGAGGGGAGCAGCATGGCTCGGGGCCAAACCCTGCCCAGGCTGCGGCCCTGCACTGGGCAGGGATGGAGGCCCACGTGGAGGAATCGGAATCGCTAGCCGAGGCTCAGCCTCTTACCTAGGGCACCATGCTCGCTGGGAACGGGCCCCCAGGCCCTCAGCCGCGGCCGCGCCAGCCAGAGCCGGTGCCGGGCAGCAGCAGGCGGAGAGGAAGCGATTTCTCATTCCAAATCCAATTCCTCTCCAACACGAGCCGATTTTTCTCTCCCTCTTTTAATTCAGTCACTCAAGCTGACAGCTACACTGTGTACCGCAGCCCAGCTACAGGATTGCCTTGCCATATTTCCCCTGTAAATCTCCCAGTGTGTCAGCTCTCCCTTTCACTCTCCAGTCGGCCTGATAAATATTCATTTTATTGGGGTATTTTTCATTTTTCTCTCTTTCTCTCTCCCTGCAGCTCATTCCCCTCATTGGCTTCATCAGCGTCGGCCTGGGCAGTGCTGTCCTGTACTTGCTGAGGCTGGCCCTGTACAGCCCCGATGTCAGGTACGGGTCGGGGTGCCCCCGGGCACCCCTCAGGCACTTGCCTCCCACCCCTGGAGCTGAGGGGCTGATACCCAGGTGTGGTGTGGGGGGGGTGGGTGCTGGGGTGCACAAGGCACCTCGATGCACTCTGACACCCTCATGGCAGGGGTAGGGGGGGCAAACCTGGGAGCAGAGGTACCCGGAGGAGGTGAGGGAAGCTGGGGCACCATCTGCCCTCTCCTTGTTTGGGGGTGCGGGGGGGGGGGGAAGGGCCCCCTTCAACCTGCTGCTCTGGGCACTGCACCAGCTGCTGTGAAACGGGGGGCAGGCAGGAGAGAGATGCAGAGGGGTTACGGGGACTGCAGAGGGAGCGGGATGGATGGGTGGATGACGAGGCAGATAAAAGCAGTATGTGACTGATGGAGAGGGGGAAACACAGTGTGGGGAGGGAGGGATTGACAGAGGAATGGGAAACCAGTGGGATGGATGGTTGGAGAAGGAATGGGGAGAGAGAGGGAGGGATGGACAGACATAAAAACAGTGTGCAAGGATGAATGGAGAGGGAGAGAAGGGAGAAGGAGACAAGGTGTGAGGATGGATTGATGAGGAATAGAGGGTGGATAGATTGGCACAGGACAGACAGGCATTCTGTGGTGCACGAGGCTGGGTCTGGTTTTTTTTTTTTTCCCTTGTAGCTCAGTGGCCCACGGTCCCTGCAGCCCGACGCTGTCTAATGCCTATCTAATATTTGTTTGCTCCTGGTAAAACGCTCATTGATTTAATTTGACGCCAGCTGCCCAGGGTACTTAGCTCAGCAATTAGCAGATCCAGGCACCTTGTCTTTGATGGTGGAAGTGCGGGGGGGGGTGGTGCGCACGCATGTGTGTATAAAACAACAGCAGCCCCCCCACAGCAGCACCCCCACAGCACATTAATGCTATTAAACAGCTCCAGGGGTCTGCATCTGCAGCATAGCCCCCCCATCCCCTAATGTGCACGCACACACACACACACGTGCATGCGCATCTTCCCAGATGGAAAATTCTGCTCTTGGCCAACACCAGCAGATTGCAGGGGGACAGGAGAGGGGGAGACGTGAGCTACTCTCTCCAGGGACCCATCCCACGGCTTTGCTGGCCTTCCACAACTCCTCCTGGGACAGGATGGGACATGTCCTCTTTGGAAAGGCTTCATCTGACTAACAGCAGCCACCCCATGCAGTTGTCCTGCACTCTAACAAGCACTGCATGCTCATGAGTGCTGCACATGGCTGCTGTGTCCCTGCTTGCTCACGGCAGGCACGGACAACAGGGCAGGCAGCAGCTTCCCTGCTCGCCAAACAGGGCATGAAGGCTGGGGGCTTGTGGGGAGGCTTTTGGGAACGGGGATGGAGGCAGAGCAGCCGAGGCCAGAAAGCAGCCTCCCATCCCAGGTAGGGGTGCAGCAGGGCAGTGCTGGCCGGGGGGGGGGGGGGCAGGCAGGCAGACGTGCACCCCTGCACGTACAGCCAGGGTAGTAGTTTGCAGGCCAGCCCTGCACTGGGGCAGCAGCCAGGCTGCAGTTTGGGTGAGTCAGGCCATGGCCGTGGCACAAGCCTAGGCAGGGGTGCTCTGGGAGCAGCCCCACAGGGAGCCTGCCTGGCCCCGACTCCAGGGGGCTTGGAGGGACCTGGCCAGAATCCCCCAACCTGCCAACCCCAGCAGAACTGGGGAGTGCGGCTACGTTGGCATCTGGGATTATTTCTGCAGAGAGCCAGGGCTCTGGGCATTAGTGGGGGTAAAATGGGGGGGTGGGGGGTGGTGTCTGTCTCCCCCACCCTCCTTACAGGTGCTGATGGCCCCATCACCCCTTGCAGCTGGGATCGAAAAAATAATCCTGAACCCTGGAATAAGCTGAGCCCCACGGACCAGTATAAAGTGAGCACTGGGTGAACTGGGGGCCTGGCACTCTGGGGTGGGGGAACAGCCACATTTAGGGCAAGACATCACGTTTTCCTCGGGGAAGGGGGAAAGGTGGCACCAGCCCTGGGGCAGAGGTGCGTGAGCCCTCCAGCTCCTTGTGCTCAGATTTGGGGAGGGGAGCGCTGTCCCCACCCCCCCACCCCACAGCCAAGGCCAGGCTGCAGTGATGGCCACAGATCACACAGCTCCCTTTCCTGTCCCTCCCTCCTCCAGTTTCTGGCAGTTTCCACCGACTACAAGAGCCTCAAGAAAGACCGTCCCAGTTTCTGAGATGACTCCAGGATGCGCCCGGGCAGGGGAGAGCATGCCCACCCCCCCAGCGGCACCGCCACAGCCCCCACCAGCCCTCCTGGCTTCTGCCTGCCCCATGGCTCTGTGACAGTCACCATGCACACAGGTCTGACTGCTTCCCCAGCAAACCCAAACCATGGGGCTGCATCCCCCCCCCCCGCAATAAACCACGTCACTCTGGGAGCAATGTGAGTGCTGTTGCCAGCACCCCTGCACCCTCCCATCCTGCCTGGCATGCTGCTCTCACCATCATGTCTCGCCTGCATTAAACTCACAGGACAGTAATAAATTATTGGGGCTGGGAGGGCAGCAAAATGGATTATGTATGCTGTTTCCCAGGCCCATAAACATAGGAGACATCCAACACCCCCCCGTGAAGGCTGGGGTGGGGGCTCACATCCCGCTGGAAGCAGTGGTTCATGGCCCCCGGGTGCCGCGTTTCCGCTCTCCCACGCTCCAGGGCCCTGGGGGCTGCCCAGGGACCACCGCGGTCCCAACCTAGCCCCTCTGGAGAGGAAAAGAGGCGGGTGGGGTGGAGGGGCTCACACACACACACATCCATGTGGATGCACGCGCATGTCCTGTGTGCACGTGCTACCCCTGCTCTCCCTGCATTACGTGCCATGGGGAAGGGGCCTGTCCTTTGCCAGAGGCAGGGGAGTCCTGCCTGGCGGTTTGGTTTGGCTAAGGCCATGCGAGGGAACTCATGGCGAGTAAATACAGAGCAGATGACCCAGGACAGCGGGATGTGCCGGGGAACAGGCAGCTGCCTGGTCTGCCAGGGGCTGGGCTATACCTCTACCCAGGCCGTGCTATGGTGAGCAAGGGGGTCTCACTGGCAGCTCTACCCCCCACAGCAGGAAGGCAGTAGGGAGGGCAGCCTGGGCCACGGCCCCCCACTGTACCTGTCTTGCTCCGGGGCTCAGTGTAACCCTCTGCCTCTCCCCTGCCCTCAGAGCCCACTGGATGAAGCACTGGGGTGGAGGAGAAGGGATGGGGACACTGAGGTATGACCATGGGCAAGGAGACCCAGGGGTCTGTTCCCCGCGTCCACTCAGAGCGCACTGGCACAGTGCTGGGGCCCCCCAGGGACACCGTCCCCCATGACACCTCATCACCAACCTCTCCCTCCCCAGCTCAGCACCCACACTCCTCTGCACCGGCAGGCTCTGCCCCCGCTTTTATTAGCAACCCTGCCCCCCAGAAAAGTGCAAGGGGGAACAAGGCTGGAGCAAGGACTGGGCCCTCCCCCCATCAGGGTCTGCAGCGGGTCTCTGTACCCTAATGCTGAGAGCAGGACAGGGGCGAGCCGTCCCCCACCCTGGGGAGGCAGTACCTGATCCTAAAGGTGCTGGTGGGGGACAAAGGGGAGTAGGGAATGCAGAGGGTGGTTTTAAGCCTCCCATTGCCCCCAGGTAGTCCCGGCCTGGCAGGAGCGGTGGGAGTCCCCACTCAGTGATCACTGAAGCCAGGCATGGGGAAGGCACGAGCAAAGGTCTCCACGCGCTGGCGCAGGTCAGCCAAGCGGCGCTGCGTCTCCACGTCCTGCAGCAAGAAGGTCTTGAACTCCTGGAGCTTGCCTGGGGGCAGACAGGGAGCCGTTGAGAAGGGTGGGGGGACATTACAGCAGCCTTGTCCCTGCTCCCAGGCAAGGGAGGAGGCTGGCACCAGCTCAGGGCGCAGTCTCCGCACCCCAAACAAGAGAGGTACTGACTGGCACCCAGGAAAGGGGAAGACGGGGGCCCCCGCTCACTCACTGGTTTTGCTCTTGACATCCAGGGCCAGCGCGATGCCCTCGTCAATGAAAGCCACCACTTTCTGGAAATCCTCCTCACGGAAGTGGCGGGAGGTCAGCGCGGGTGCACCTGGGGGACAGAGCCCATCAGGACCAGGAGCTGCTCGGGGGCACCAACCACAGAAGCCAATCCCACCAAGGGCCTCCCCAAGTCCCAGCCCCCATGGGGTCCTGTGCCCCTCTCTGAGCCAGAAACTGGCCCCAAATTCCAATGTGGAGTCCTCAGAGAGGGTGAAACAGAGGGAGGATGCCCTGGGGTGAAAGCCTGGGACCCCCCCTCCCAGGGAAGGGGCTGGAGGGAGGCAGGAAGACTCCTCCAAGCAGGGCCTGTCCCTCACCCAGGCGCAGCCCCCCTGGCGTGAGCGCGCTCTTGTCCCCTGGGCATGTGTTCTTGTTTGCAGTGATGGAGACGAGCTCCAGCACGCGCTCAGCCCGTGCACCGTCAATGCCCTTAGGCCGCAGGTCCACCAGCACCAGGTGGTTGTCAGTGCCACCTGGGGAGCAAGGGAAAGGGGTTAGGAGTGACAGCCACCCCTGAGCATGCCCAGCCATCCCCTCTCCTCACCACCACATCCTGGCCCCTTCCCAACTCTGCAGCGCTGCCCCCGTTCTGCCTCCAAAGCCCTGTTCTGCCTTGCACCCCCCTCCTCTGCCCCCCAACGCTCCCCACTGCTGCTTAGCGGCACCGAGGCCAAGTGGTGCCACCTGCGACCTACCGCAGCCTCATCCCTCCTTGTCCCCAAAAGCACAGGGAAGGAGGCATTACCTGACACCAGGGTGTACCCGCGCTGGAGCAGGGCCTGTGCCATGGCTTTGGCGTTCTTCAGCACCTGCTGGCAGTACTGGCGGAAAGCTGGCGAGCTGGCCTGGGAGGGGGGGCCACATCAGCGCAGGGCCTGGGTCACCTCCAGCCCTGAACCCACTGCCCCGGCACCGACCTGTTTGAGGGCCACGGCCACGGCAGCAATGGCGTGATTGTGGGGCCCCCCTTGCAGGGAGGGGAAGACAGCAAAGTTGATCCTGTCCTCCAGGTCGTAGAGCGTCTCCTTGCCCGTCTTCTTATCCACTGACCGCACACCCTTGCGGTAGAAGATCAGTCCTGACCTGGTGGTGAAAGAGAGCTGGTACTGCTCCTCCTGCCTGCCCACTACTGCCCTATGGCAGGGGCTTGGCCCTTCTGCACCACGGGGCAGCACCGACACGGCTACCACCCTCCCCCGGTTCCCTCCTGCTCAGCTCTGGCCCCAGCCAGAGCACGAAATACAACCTCTGCTTTGTGCTCCCCCACCGCGGGCGGGCGGCCTCCCAGGGGAGGGAGCAGCAGGACAGAGCCTCACCTGGCGCCGCGCAGGGTCTTGTGCGTGGTGCTGGTGACCAGGTCCGCGTGCTCAAAGGGCGAAGGGATGGCCTTGGCTGCCACCAGCCCGCTGATGTGCGCCATGTCCGCCAGCAAGTACGCCTTCACCTCCTCGCACACCTGGGGACGTGGGGCATGGGGAGTCACGGGCTGTCCCTGTCCCCACAGCCATGAGTGGGGTGCAGTTGCCCTCGAGCTGCCACAGGCACGAGAGCTCCCACCACCCAGGACGGAGCCCACCACCGTGTACCTTCTTCATGCGGGCGTAGTCGATGAGGCGGGCGTACGCACTGGTGCCGGCGATGATGAGACGAGGACGGAAGAGCCGTGCCGTCACCTCCAGCTGGTCATAGTCGATCAGCCCCGTGGCTGGCTGAGAAGGACAGACAGACAGACAGCTTGCCGAGGCACATGCACCTCCCTGCCCCCAGCTCTGAGCACAGCACGTTTGGCTGAACCACAGGCAGCTCCCAAGCACACCATAGCACCGGGATGTGGTTGGGACACAGGGAGGGTAGGGCAGGGGATGGCAGAACAGCTCGGGCACCTCAGGGGCACTGCCAGGATCAACGGCTCAGCCAGCAGATCCCCCCTTCCCCCAGGAACCTGCCCCCCTCAGCTCACATCAAGTTTGTAGGGCATTGACTCGAAGAAGATGGATGTTGCTGAGATTCTCTTGATGTCCGACATGTACCCATGTGTGAGGCTGCAGGGGAAGGCAGAGGTCCAGGATCAGGCTAGGCCCCCCAGGAGGCAGCAGGCTCCAGGCTGGCCCACCCCACAACATACTGGCCCCCATCAGGCAGGTCCAGCCCCATAAGGCGGTCGTGGGGCTGCAGCAGGGCTGTGTAGGCTGCAAAGTTGGCTGGAGACCCCGAGTAGGGCTGAACGTTGACGCCCCAGCAAGCAGGATCCAGGTCGAACGCCTCCAGAGCCCGCTGCTCGCACAGCAGCTCGATCTGGTCTACCACCTCGGCTCCCCCATAGTACCTGGAGAAGAAAGGAGGTGGTTACAGGGGGCCTTGCCCCCGCCAGCCCCACAGCCTCCCACGCTGCCCCACAGAAGACCTCAGTGGAGAGGAGAGCCTCCCCGCTGAAGCACCTGCTCCTGCCCCAGGGCTCGCCTTAACCTTTCCTGCAGCCGAATCCCGGCTGCTGGAGGACCCCTGATGCCACCAGTGCCCTCCCCCCTCCCAGAGCCTGCTCCCCTCCTTTACCTCTTGCCAGGGTACCCCTCTGAGTACTTGTTGTTGAGGCAGGAGCCCAGGGCTTCCAGTGCTGCCCGGCTGCAGAAATTCTGGGGGAGAAAGGGGGTCAGAGACAGGGCAGCAGAGCTCCCACCTGAGCAGGGATCCCCCAGGACTGTCACCACCCCCTGCCCCAAGCACCGCATACCCCACCTCAGAGGCGATGAGCTCCAGCCCCCGGCACTGCCGATCCTTCTCCTTCTGGACCAGGGTCCACATCTCGGGGTCGCTCTCAGCCAGACTCTCCTGACCTGTCCAGCCAGGCACGTGCCCGGTGGCAGCCGCTGTGGCGGTGCCATGCTGCACCCGCTGGCTGCCAGCGGCCACCCAGCCACCACATCGCTGCAGGGCCTGCACAGGAGAGGGGGGGCTGACAGGCTGCGACCCCGCACAGGTGGGTGCCAGGCCCCCTCACCCCTGAAACGCCCCTGGACCAGCAGGTGACAGCGTCAGGAGCAAGACGTCGGTGTTGTGTCTCCAGCCACTGGTGCCACCCCCCAGGGTGGGCAAGTGGGGACCCCCAAGGTCCCCACAAGGCACCTAGGGACCCCCCCCCACAGTCTCCCAGGCCCACGGCCAGGGCAGGAGCACCTCGCCTCTGCTGAGAGACGGTGCCAAAGCAGCCAGAACGGCAGCCAAACCTGCCACGGGTGCAGAGCACGTGCGCAGCAGAGCTGCACATGCGTGTGCATGTGTGCGCGCCCAGGTGGGACGGCCAGACCCTCGGCCACCCCACGGGGCCCCCCCCCGTTGTGCACGGTGCTGCGGGGGGGGCTGTGTGTGCAAGGACACCCGCAGCACCCACACACACGACACGGTTCACATCGCGGGGGGGCTTCTACTGCTCCCCTCAGCCCGGCGTCCCGAGGAGCATGGAAGGGGAACTGTGCCCCCCCTCGTGGCCCTGCCGGCGGTGCCCGGTGCCGGTGCCCGGTCCCAGGTGATGTAACCACGGCCGCCCCATTGCATCACCCGCGGGGCCGCGGTCGCTGGGCAGGGGCCAAGGCCGGCGGCGGTGGCTGTCCCGGCGCGGGGACTTTGGGACGGACGCAAAGTCCGC